AAAAAAAAATTCTCAAACTCTAACAATTCTAACAATATTTTGCAATGAAATATATTTTCTTGTTTATCGTTCTTATTTGTGCCATCCATGGTCTAACAGTTCATGCATCGCCTCTCCATGAGGGTAAAAGATTAATTATTTTTATTTATAATTTTTATCTTTCTATTTTCTTATGCATTTAACATTTTTATTTGTAGTCGGATCTAGTCTTCTCATGAAACGTTGTGCGCCTGGGGCTGGCAATGCAGATTGTGGTTGCGGAGAACCCTGTGAGGATAATGCAGATTGCGGGACAGATCTTTTTTGTCAAGCTAGTATTTGCTGTAATGATTTCGATTGCAACTGTTAAGTTTGGTCACTTTGAATTTTTGAGTTAAGTTATATATTAGTGAATGTATTAGTTATTTTGATTGCATCTGTTAAATTTGTTCCTTTGAATATTGAGTTAAATTATTTATTAGTTAATGTATTAGTTAATGTATTAGTTAATGTATTAGTTGATGTATTAGTTGTTTTACTTTTTTCACATTTATATTTATAATTTTTTTTATCAATAAATATTTCTATCAGCAAATATTGCATTCTTGACCTTATACAACTTACTTTTTTTTTGACTCTTGTATACAGTGGTAGTCAAAAGTAATGCATCGTCAAAATGAAAAATATAAAATGGTGAAAATGGTATAGACGTTGTTACTATTGGAATTTTAAAAATTCCTGCGCCCTGACCTTGTAGAAGATTTCAGCACATATTTTTTATTATTATTACTATTTCTTGTCATTATTGTTAATTTACCCTTATTACTTATTAGCCTTATAACATATAACTATTATCCTTATTATTACTGTAATTGTTATGACCCTATTCATATTATTATTGTTCCTAGCTTATCTTATAATTGTCATTATATTATTACTTAAAATGAAATCGTTGTACTCCCGAAAATAGTTAAGTGTAGATCTACACTATTCCTTTTTTAACGCTAATAGGTATTTCTTTATTGATCTTACTATTGATTTCTATAATAATCAATCCACACATTGAACGCGTTGCAGGAGGATTAGATGAAGGGTTGAAACAAACTTTGTATCTTAAAATGATGTATGTTATCAAGAAGATGAGGCTTGTTATGGTTCAATTAGTGATTTGACTCGTCTAAAAAACCTTCACCCGGGTCACCCGTCGGGTGGACAATAAGTCACCCGGGTGGAAATCGGGTCAACTTACAGCTATTATCATAATTTCTGGGACACCTGCTCATTACCCGAAATCTTTTATGGTCGTTTGGTAAATTACCTAACTCTCCGGAAACTACATCGATGTCTTCGGCCCTTCAGTCCGGAGGCAATGATATAATTTCTGAAGAGTTAGGTGATTTACCGAACGACCAAAAAGATTTCGGGTAATGAGGAGGTGTCCCAGAAATTATGATAGTAGCTGTAAAAATGTCACCCACCCGGGTCACCCGATGGGTGACCTGTCGGATGCCCGTTGGTTAGTATAAAAGAACACCTGGGTGGTAATATGACAAAGAATTACAGCCTTTATCAGATTCTGAACACATGATACAATGATTTTTGACTATTCGATTAAATTATTGATTTCGGTATGATTGGTGTATATTTTTAGACGTAATATTTCAGGATTAGAACCATACAGCTAAAATCAGGATAATGTCATGAAACGTCTAGTTGGCCAGTTTATAGAGCTATCGGGATAATATAGGACAATATGAATCAAGACGAATCAAGATGATATTGGAGTTTCTTTCTATTGAACAAATAGAAATGTAGATTATAGATGCATAAATATGAAATCTTTTTTGCGTTTCAATTGGAATATATAAATCACATGACTTTGAGGACATGGTCTTGGCCTGGTAAAGAAAAGTTCGGATGCGGTTATAGTGTTCAGATCCGTGCAATTATATTTTTTACACATAAAATGCGTGATAATTTAATCTATTTTAATGTAACTAGTGCAAACAACAATATTGAACAATATCAATATAATAAAGATTCATGCACATAATAATTTTTTTTTGCCAATTACTAAATATCAATATTTTAACACTATTAATATGTTTAGCGTTCACAATTTTTTATTTGCATTGATATTGCATAGTCAGAATTTCTTATATCGCATAAAAATACATTTTAAAATTGCACGAATCTGGATACTCTAGATGCGGTATATAAAAAATTTACTATTTAATTTTGGTATAGCCAGCTTACAAACTAATAAATACACGCAAAAAAGAATTTGTCACATTTAAAGCATGCAGATAGATATGCAATATACGTATGTAGTAAATTGATAATTTGACTAATAAGCCCAAACTCAAATTGATCAAAAAACTCAATATTCGAATAAATTATTAGCGAAACTATTTTTATTATCGTTCTATTTTGAAAAGAATTAGAGTAATTCAATCTTATCTTTAGTCATCATAACATTTATTAGAGATGTAACACGACCTTTAGCCATATAATTAATGAAACGATAATATTAATATATTCATACATATTATCGACCTACTATTTAACCCAAAGTTACTAATGTTTTAACATTACAATGTTCAAATTACATAAAATATGAATATTAGTACATGCTTATTGTTATAATAATATGGTATGCATAAAATTCTTTAAGTTAAATCCTACATGTAACATCTCAATCCAGCATTTAGAACTTACATATTGTTAATATAACTAGTATTATCTAGGGATGTTAAATCGTTTGGCAGGAACTAGTTCGACTGAGTTTAAAACTCTGTCCGTTATGCTTCAGATTGAAATTTTGTTGGCGCACCTGGGTAAGATGGAATTAGTGACCAAATCCCGTGATTCTGTATATAGAAATTCGTGACGTAATTCAACGCTCTAATTCGACACTATTATTAAGAACCCAATTCACCCTGGTTACTCGGACCAAGTCTTTCTATGCCTCGATCATTGCCTTACCACTACTAGGGTTGGTTGTATTAGTTGTGGTGTTCTGGTTAGAGTAGTTTAGTTAGCTTTAGTAGTGTATAGTTGTATTATCTAGACCAAGTGCATCATTCGCACTTTTACACCGGACAATCGAATCTAACATTCAGCCAAATTGTACAATATTTTAACGAATCAAATTTTACTTACAGGTTTTTCCTGTGCAGCTCTCATTTGTTATCCGTATATATAATCGAGGTCAATTTTTATGGAGACGTGATAGAGTCAGGCAGTAATTGACTAACCTGTCACAGATTTCAAAAATGCTACAGCAATATATAATGGCGTGGGACGCATTGGTTATTAAATTTCTCGAAATAAAGTTGTTAAAATAAACGAATTAAACTTCATACTCACTTTGGTAATTTATTAAATGATTAAATGAATGCAATTAATCATATTCTCTCGAAAAACAGGCGTTAAAATGAACAAATTAAACTTAATCTGGTAATTTATTGAATGATTAAACGGTTATTTTTTTAAAATTAACTAGATTTTCTGTGCATGTTCTAACGTCTATACATTATTTTAAAAAGAATTATACTTTTGCATAGTTTCATCGGCATCGCTCACTTCACCGACAGTCATTTTAATTTAGTTCAGTTATATATTTTAGTAAATCATCACTTGGTTACTAAAATGATTGTCGGTGAAATATAGTAGATCCACAGTTCGTACGTGCGTACATACGTTTAACGGACGATTTATTAATGAAGAAAATTTTGGAGATTACGATGATGATTATTCGTGTACAATGTTTAAATTATTTGTCGATACATATAATTTAATAATAAAAGTTTCTTAATAAAATGAGTGCTGCAAAGCGAAAACCTGTAATTTCGATTTTTGCCGGCTCCACTTTCTGACCCGACTCCCGATAAATTTAAAATAAGCACAACATATATTATATAGTGTGTTACAGCTGTTTTCATAATTCCTGGGACACCTGTAAAAAATTAGCCGAATGATTTACGGCCGATCCGGTTAATTTATTATTTCGGCATAATGGATTCAATAAAAATTGGTACGTGCGTGCGTACGTACGTATGTACGTACGTACCAATTTTTATTGAATCCATTATGCCGAAATAATAAATTAACCGGATCGGCCGAAAATCATTCGGCTAATTTTTTACAGGTGTCCCAGGAATTATGAAAACAGCTGTAGATTACATTTTTCGGGGGGTTTGATCTGTAAAATTAATTTCGGAAAATTCGCAATTACAGGTTTTCGCTTTGCAGCACTCAAATCATGAATAGCAATCATATTTTCAAGCACCGATTGCGTAATGGTAAATGTATAAATGTTAAAGAGTCAATTACATCACAGTATTCGTAAGTAATACGGGCGTAAGTCTGCTCTATAATTTGTATAATTTAATCCGGTAAATTTAAAAGCCCGATGTCTGATTTCCCTTGGAGATGCAGAAAGTTTTTGGGGTCGCTGTACGAGTTTATTGCAACAAAAAAAAAAGATTAGAGTCGAAATTACACAACAATTAATTGGTGCTAGCTTATGTGCTAATCTGTTTCCATTTTAAAATCTGAAAATTAAAGTGTATTAGTGATAGACTTATAACCTTCCCAAAAAAATTCGGGTTTACTAATTTCCCCCGCCACTTCTGTTTGGCAGTACTAATTATTCAATTATTGGAGTATTTATATTAGTAATCAAAAAACTTTTTCAAGTAAAAATTCGCGCTGTTAGACCAGAATTAATATTTTGGCATTATATTATAATTATAAGGCGTTTCTTATACCAACATTTTACAAGGATGATTTTTTATTAGTGCGTAGAAGACAGTTTCATATATTGAATTTAGGATTTTTAATTTTTTCATTTTTTTTGTTTGCGTTTCTTTTACGTTACACCTGATCGTGAAATTGGATTGGCTCCGATAAATGAATAATTAGCACAGCCAATCAGAAGTGGCGGGGGAATTAGGCCACTCAAAAAAAAATTCAACAACCTTGTATTTCTCGATAATTAACGCTATTCGCAAGATAATGTCCTTGATCAAATTTTTGTAATCATTTGATTGCATGTTGTTTTGAGGATATGGAAATGTAAATATGGAAAGTCATAATTACGTGTATATAAATATTTTATTTGTATTTAATTTTTGTAATCGCTTGATTGCATGTTGTTTTGAGGATATGGAGAATGTAAATATGAAAAGTCATAAATTATATAAATATTTTGATAAAGAAAATCACATTACAATCACTCAATCACCCTGTAAAAAAAAGGATTGTGTAAAATTTGTGGGATATGTAATAGATATATCCCACGGAGACTAACGCTCATATGATTTCTGATGATTAATTAAAATATGTCATCGGGAAATATACTTTTAA